AATAATAAGGGTTATTTCAGGAGATGCCAATCAACTTTATGTTTTTTTTTTGCTTCCCTATTGCTTCGTGTATCCTTTTAGACACCGTCGTCCATACTTTCGATTCACACTACATATTCCCGTACTTCTTCCATATTTCATTTTCCCCATATTCTAGCAGTCGTCTGGTAGTCTTACTTCATACAGTGCCTTCTTAATAATTGTTGGATATTCGGTATTCCACCGTTTTTTGCTTGCACATGTGTTTTCGTCATAGCGATTCACTCTGACAACAATAACATTATGCATATATTTAGTAATATTATTACTTATTATTATTACAACTGGGTACTATACTGAACTCACAATGGTAGTGTGCTTAGGCCATAAGAACATAGCCATCGTACAAGATGGCCAGTTCAGCATTACGACTGTAACCGTTTAGGAGTTAGTTGACCTGGATTAATCTGCTGGGTAGTCTCAAAAAAATAATCAAAGCTGACAACAACGGAATGCTTTCTATGAAGGCCCTGAAAACCTATTAAAACTAGCATTTAGGAGATGGATGGTTCCCTGAATGTTTTAGTCCTTTAGTTCAACTTGATGGCGCACAGTAGTGTACAGGTGACGGAAATCAGCTGATTTTGGCAAACATAAGGTGACCAAGGTAGCAAAAGTAAGGCCGTCGTACCAGATCATGACGACGGAAGTGGCAGATAAAGGATAATGAGGCAAATGTCAGTTATGAAGAGTTTTATAAAGTCGGCTACAGTATGAAAAAATGTCTAAAATTGACTTTCACTTTCGCACGGGTCCACCTCTGGTTATTTGAATTTGCAACTTCTCTGCAACATCTCTCTTCATTGTGAAAGGTTTAACCTCTCAAAACTGTTAAAACACGGTCACTTCTGGGTGTGACTATCGGCCAGGCCAGTGTTGAGCCACTATTGAGCTCTATTTAGGCCATTTTTTGACGCGGACAGTGTCCCTTTTGGCATTCTTTGAGGCCACAAATTCGTCATGATCGAAAATCTGGAAAACCAATTTTATCGTGAAATGCTAATAGCCCTTCGGTTCCTTTGTCTCGCACTTTTCCGGGTCTGTTAAGGGTAAAGAACGTTTTCACGTGCACTTTCATTTGCAGTAAATTATGGTGTACGATAATTTCTTGGGCCATGTAATGCCAGATGTATAAGCGGATAATAAGACTCAATAGGGCATTCGTTAAGCTGCTATTGACGCCAATCCGATCACAAAACAAGGCAGTTAAATTCTTTGGAATGATTATTGTTTTCAAGGAAGGAATTCATGGAATGAAATCATTACGTGGACTAGCTTTTCAATGACCACGCGAACATGGCGACTTGAAACCGGTTCGCTTTGTTCAGCGCTCAAAATTGTCGTCCACTTGAAAAGTGATAGCAGCGAAATGTGGCCCAAACCAAATAAACAGAATCCGAGATGTTCATTCACTCTATGTTGACGTGAAGGAAAAACTAGTCAGAAAAGGGATCCTGCTGAAATCTCCACCGAAAGTAAAATTGATGAACTGTTTTTTCTAACTTGCTATCGGGCTTCTAACTTATGTTCATACAAAAACCCATTTTTCATGTTTTACAAGTAGATAGCAGCTACTTTGAGGAGTCCTAACGAAGAAAATAATTTGCTAATAATTTAATTAGTTTCGAGTGCTCTGCAAACTAATCAGGGTGAATTATTGTCCCAAGTAGAGTTAGCCCTCTAAAATGTCCTTTCCCTCTGAATAGAGAAGAAAAGGAACATTTTAGAGGGCTATTCAACTTCCAGAAAAGGTAAAAGGGACGACTAATTGAAGGCATAGGTGTTTTCCGATAAGATAAATCGAAGTGTTTCCTCCTGAAATTCTTGATTTTAAAGGCACAGTTCACAATAATTCTGAGGTACCCTTTTAAGTTGAAAAGCGGAAGTGTCTTTAGAGGATAGTGCATTGGCGGCGAAGAAAGTGAGAAATTCTACCGACTTCGCGAGAAGTAAGGGCCCTAAAAGTAGCGAAAATAGAGGCTGTACGAGATTACCGTGACGGAAATGACATGGTGAGAGTGTTTGGACGAGACTTCAGTCGTTGCAATTGTGTATAGAGCTGACTACATCAGGCCAAAGCTGTCCAGAATTGTCTTTCGCGTCTTTCGCTGTCACTATGGGTCATGACAAGCTCTATAAACTTCCTTTATGGGTTCCCTCGCTAATGGGGCGGCCTCTACCTCGTCCATATTTGGGTGTGGTGGTCAGTCGATACAATCTTTGAGCCACTATATTGCCCTATCTAGGCCATTCATCGATGTGACAGCGCCAGATATGTATGCGGGGAGACCATAGATTCATCCTCAGAGTATATCTCAGAAATAAATTTTATCGCGAACTGTGCCTCTAAGATAACCAATCCTCGTCTCTGTTTTATCCGTGATTGGCAAAAGAATCCAATTTATCAATTAACTTGGTGTGTTGGACCATTTGGATTAGCTAGTATAAAGGATTGGAATCTCATCAAAATTGAAAGTGCCCTTTTTTACTGGAAGCCTAAAAATTCCTATTCCCGAACCATCCTTATATCAATCATGGCATTGGTTAAAAATATCATTAGGAGCAGAAATCTGTTCTGAAGGAACAAATGATTGAAATTTTTTTTCAGATCGCAATATCCAAATGGCAACCAGTACGGCTATGACTACCCTTCGCAGGTTCTTTATAAGTTGATGTTTTCATCTGTTGACATTGAGCTGATTCAAAGCTGCTTAGAGTTTTATTAAATTGGATTTCAGCAGTGTCGGCCCAGCTATCGCGACTCTCGCATCGATGACAGAGGAGTAACGGTAGATCCGTCTGATTTATGACTTCGTTCACGTCCTTTCATAGGAATACTCGCAGTTGTTCAGGTGGTATCACGACCAGGATCTCCTGGCCCAGTGGCTGGTGCAGGCGACGTTATCAACACACCCCATGGCTTCACAATTCAACTTGATGTCAAATTGTTTCGCCCAGAGCAAATAAAGGTGAGGGGACAGATAAAAGTTTCTTGATCAGATTTTTATTCCAATCTCTCACAGTCAGAAGCAGCTACCCATAAGGCAATATGGTTTCTGGCTGTTGCAATTGGAAAAATAATTATGTGAAACCATAGAACCAAGATTCTTCAAAACAGCTCCCATGGAAATGTTCATTTTAGTCTTAAAATTCTCCGGGGACTTTCTCAGGCAACGAAAAAAAAGAATCTGCGTGTCGGGTTACATCCACAACATTGATAGCTCGTAGTAGTAGAAGGTGGTAGGTAGTCCAGTTCTCGGGGAGAGATGTATGATGTAGCTATCATAACTTCAAAGACTGCATCGCAAATCCCTTGCAAGAAATTGAAGAAAACGCATACGCCCAAAGTGTTTTTCGTAGTTTTATGGAATGATCTGCGCTTTACCAAATTCATTTGGGGCTTCGATTCCTTTACTTTTTATTTCCTGAACTTTACATTTCTCTCCACGCATTGAAAAATAGAACTAGTGCTGAGGAGGTATTGGTTCACTCCTTGTGAGTCTATCTCATTCTTAACATTTAGTGACATCCATCAATTTTGTTGATGTCGTTCGAAAGTATTCAGTTCAATTCCATTCTACTGCCTCTGTTTCCTATCAATGGACACTTGATAAGCGAGCACGTAGTTCGATTTAGTAATGTGTGCAACAGACAGACAGACAGACAGATAAGACAGGCGGGCAGACAGACAGACAGGCGCAAACAGACAGACACACAGGGATACAGACAGGCAGGCAGGCAGACAGACCGATAGACAGACAGACAGACAGACAGACAGACAGACAGACAGACAGTTAGAGAAAGACAGATAGACAGGCAGTCAGATAGATAGCAGTGTGAATGAACCGCGAATAGCCTTTCAAAGCGGTCATTTCAGGTAGTGCTGACAGATGACATGCTGTGTGTAAGCGGTGAAAGAATAGAAGTTGGCAGCGGTGGGCAGACATTGAAGCGTTCTTTCGCAAGAAAATATTGTATCCCTTCGGACATCCATTTGGATTCAAT